AAAAATAATAAAAATTTTTTAGTCCATGTTTGTCAGTTATTTAATTGCCTTAAACTAGCAGTTGCAAAGAAATGGAATTTTACGTTTATTAATTAAGGAGCGTCCGACTTCCTGTCCCTCAACCCCAAGCTCGTTAGTGCAGTCAACAAAACAGTGAAACACGCACAGTGAATTTACTTCGCAGTTACAAAAGATTTCAAAAGAGGAAAAAATATCAAGTGTGCGTGCGCACGGTCGTGTCACAGACAAAAAAAAACATAAGACTTAAACTGAGTGTCAAAACGGACGGGGATGGAGTTCTCAGCCGGTAGCATTTAACAATAACTCATCGCTACAAGAAGGTGGCATCCACAAATGAAGCGTTTTCGCGCGCCCCTTTATGTCAAACAGTTCACATTATTTTATATTTAATTTAATACTTGACCTTTTTAATAATGTTGCCTCACAAAAGTATTATCAATAAAATTGTCACTTTCTGATTTTTTTAACAATTTTTTTTGTAAGTTAGCGAAATTTTTATTTAAATAAGCGAGTAACATATACTTTCAGCAGGGTAGAGAGAGAAAAGATGTTAAAAATCGAGAACCGAGTTCACGCGGATTTCTAGTGGAAAATCGAAAAGCATGCGAGCGAATAAGTAGGAATATAATTGTAAAATCCGAGGTAAAATCTCAAGTTCAAAAAATAATAGGCGTAAACTTACATCGTAGTGTAAGTAGCGACAAGTTAAAGCCAAACTTTTTTTTTTTTTTTTTTTTTATAATATTTTATTCGCTTTTTCTAATTTACGTGTGTAATCAATATACAGCTAATGCCACAAGGGATAAGAATAAAAGTACAGTTTTAAGATTCACACTTTACAAACATAAAATACAAATTTACCAAATTTATTAAATAGACCATTGGTTTCTTTTGAGAAAATCACGTATCAGAGTGTACGCTTTAACATTAGGTCTCTTGACAATATTCGTAATGGAGTACGGCGGAGGGCCAAAAACGTAGTTCAAGGCCCTTAGTAGTTTTACCCTTGAAGCAGCATAATTTGGGCAGTACCACAGAACGTGACTAATGCATTCTGAGGTGTGATCACAAGAGCAATTAGAGCTCGAAATTGGACCGAAATTGCTTGAAATGAAACCGATTCTTGTAAGTACCTATAAGGATTCGCCCAAATTATAGTGGTTCGCTCTAATACGATTGATGGTAGAAATAAAAAACCTGTCTACGTTTAGACCAGAGAACCGTTTTAAATCAAATAAAAATTAATTAACAGTACCTAACGCTTTCACTTACCATTTAAATAATAAGTATTAAACAGAAAAATCGTAACTTTTTTACGTACGCTAACAGCGAAAAATTAGATTACAACATACATTACTATCTGTATCAAACTTTTCAATAGTTACGATTTTCCATTACGACAATAGTAACGCTTTTACATTCGGCTGTTTAATAATGTTCTCCGCAGAGTGCGGAGCCGTAAGACCAATACTTGATAGTCTTCTCAAGAACTTGGTTCTTTTTATAGCATACACAGGGCAGTCCCAAAGAATATGGTCAATGGTTTCGGGTAGATAACCACATGAGCACTGAGGATCAGGGATAAAACCAATTCTTTGCAGTGATTCACCTAAATTATAGTGATTTGCTCTCACTCGATTGACAGTAGTAACAACACAACGATCAATTATTAGTCTGTGATACCAGGGTTTCATTTGTTGCTGGTAATATTTTTGAAAATACAGAGTGCCTTTAAATTGCGGCTGCCCTGTTGTACTATTTCTAGTGCTGTTAATCATTTTCTTATAATAAAATTCTCTAAAGTCTGTATACGGGACTTTTAACAAAGGAGATGAAATGACTTTAGTAGCCTGTTTGGCTAGCATATCCGCTTTTTCATATGCGCAGGTATCCAGCAGAGTTTCAGTACCCGATTTGGGTCTTTAATTAAATAATTGTAAATCTTTTCTTTGGTAATGTAAACAAACGGACTTAGCTTAACTGTGATATTGGAAGATCCAAGCGCTTCCATTGTACTTCGAGAGTCTGACGGTATGAGCGAACGCGAGATCTCATTTTCTATAATAAAATTTAGTGCTCCATCAATGGCTACACATTCAGCCGTAAAGACAGAGGCTCTCACATCTAGGGCTCGAGTGCTAGAGTGTGAGAGAGGCGCACAATAAACCAAACTACCATAGTGCTAATATTGCCTTGAATTCTGCTACCGTCTGTAAAAACAGGACAGTAGCCATGTCGATTAACATAGTCGTCTAGCACAACGTTCGGGACTACTGAGTTTTGCAGTTCCCTGCCCCATTCAAAGTCAATCTGAGGAATGAAAAGAAGCGATTGAAAGCTAATGGAGTACAAGTTAAAGTTCGGATTTGTGTATACTAAATGTTTTATGTCCATAATACTAGAAATGCAATTGCAAAAGATTCTACCGTCATTTTGATTATCTCTTTGAGAGCTAATGTTATAGCACGAAATTATGCTGGCACGAATTTCAGAACCTAAGTTTGACATGACTTTGGTAAGGAAGGAACTGCATAAAAACTCGGCCCTATCAGTGATATAGGGCATACAAGATTCTGCATGGATGACATTTATTGGACTGCTTATTCTGTAGCCAAGTGCAATTCTGATCGCCACGTTTTGAATAATCTGGATTTGATATCGCAGTTTCTGAGTTACTGGTAAGTAAACGAAAATACCATAGTCTATGATTGAGCGTACGTAGCTCTTGTAAAAAGTTATGAGGCTGCGTACTGAACGGACTCACGATCATCTCCGAGTGGAGATCAGGTAAGCATACTGATAATGGTAAGAGTTGAAGAACTCTCGTGGTGGGTGGTGCCAAGTGCCACCTGTGAACGAACGAGATAACATTTGAGAGTTTCTGGGTCGAAAACTTTATTAGAAAAACAGGTAGTGAGCAGAGCTATATATTAAATGTACTACTTACGTATGGACAATTGGAGGGAAAAAAAAATGTTTTAAATTAGATTTTCTCAATTCCGAGTGTAGACTTTACTTTTCTTAATTTATTTATGTTGAATGTCCCAGCAATTTGGAAAATTTAACCAATGTATTATTTTTATATTCAGTAGATGTAAGTATACTTATTTCATTTTTCAACAGATGCATTCAAGTATGATACATAGGCGGACCAGTCAGTTTTTATCTGTAGTTTTTGTGAACGTTAATGCACAAAATATATTATGCTAATCAATTGAAGAATCAAGGCACACACCATTTGCATCAATACATGCGCATATATCCAAACCACAGCATGAGCATTGACATCACCAAGAAATAAGCAATTTTTGTTCGAATATTTATACTGAAAATACCATCCTAAGTATTTAACAAAGCATCAGGAGGTCTATAGACATCAACAAGATCAAGAATGGATCTGACACGAAATTTTGATCCCACAACACTCCAAGGCTCGAGGTCCTTTAGGGGAGAGAAAAATATACGCCCTTTCTAACAAAAACAAGTCCCCCCCCTCCCAGACCCTTCACAGATATTCCATCAGATCTGTATACTTACAGAGAAATCGGATAAATTCACAATACATTTTGGCTTTAGTCAAAGAATATCATGATATCTGGCCATTTTTTGTAAATCACACATCTTTTTACTAATTGCACGAGTATTCAAGTAATAAATAATTAAATCTAATGCGCGATGAACACAGCCAGGCGTAACATTAATATCGAATATTTACACTTTGAGCAGAAATCAGAAAAAAATTGTAAAAAAAGAAAAAAAATTTAAAAAAAAATAAAGCGACGAGGTTTTCAAGCCGTGAGTTTGAAATTTCTATCAGGATGTCATAGGATAACATGAATAGACAAGAGGTAGCGCATCAACATATATATTTTCCAATATATAGGTATACAATGTGCATGTTGAATCAAGTTGTGCACTATGTCTCGTGCGTGCGCCCAGCAATTTTGAGCCACAACTTTTCGACCACTGTACCAGGATAATAGGATAATCAAAGAGGTGGCACGACCCCCTCTTTGGGTTGTACATGTACGCATAAGTCCGTGCGTGACATTTCGAGGCTCAAATTTTTGAGTTCGGTATCAGGAGAACACACAAGCGAGTTGGTATGTCCCAGCTCCGGGCAGTTTACTACATAGAGCATTTTACGAGAAATAAAATACACAATCTCCATGTGTATTCCTTTTCGCGTAATAATCCATGTACATATACATCATTGTATCCTTGTATTGGGTTTAATGTGTTGTAACCTCCTCAGTGATCCTGTTATCCTAATAATTAAGGCCGAAAGTCGAGGTTTGCGGGTTTTCAAAAGTGCTCAAAACGCGGATGTCACGATTTGAGTCTTGATTTGCGCCGCTCGGTATTCGGAAAACAGGATCGTACAAGAGGTATCTCTAATTCCTATAGGTAATGGCGGACTTTGAAAGAGCTCTTTGTGAATTATGTTCCCCTGGTATTTCGAATCCGAAATCTAAGCTCGGAATTCGTGCGCGCTTTTAAATTATGGAATTTTCTTGCGTATATTAATCACTGTGTACGAAAAAAAACACTGCTCAGCTTTTTCCATGTTATTTTGAATAGAAAAATCTGAATTGTGCTTTTTTTGAATGGGCCATCGGTATTATGCATTTGGGCGCCAGACTTAGCAATGACAGTGATTTATAAAATTATTAGAAAAAATGTTTTTGTGTCTATAATTGGTGAAAAATTATTTTGTTAAAGCTCCTTATCGTAAAGATAAAATCCTTTATTACATCATTGCTAAAAAGTATAAAAATTTTTGTAAAATCTTGTTTTTTTACTCATGTTCTCAGGTTGTTGGAACGAAGCATCTGATAGACAATAGCAAAACCAATAATAAATTAATTTAAATATTATTTTTGGAGTAATGTGGATCATCTTTTGGTTGGAGTTGTGTCCAAAAACATTTCTTTATTTAAATAAAGAGCATTATTATTTTGGTCGAGGACGCGAAGAGAAAAAGAGGTTATGTTTGTCGAAGACGTGCTTACAAACTTTTCGATAGATTACATCGTAGTGATTAAATTGTTGAAGAAAAGGTTGTTAAAACAGTAAAATTTTGACATTTCAAAATTATTTTATTAAAAAAGCTATTATTACAACTATGTATGAAAAGTCGATGTGAAAGTGGTTTGTAAACAAATATAAAAATGACAATGTTCGCTTTAATATAATGAATACAAGATTGAAAAAAAAAAGAACAGAAATTAATAGTTTATTAAATACTTATCTAAATCGTTTCGTTTAGAGCAAAACTGATTTTCACAGGACACGTGACAATTATCATTGACAATAATTATGTTGATATGTAAAAAATTAGTATTCAAACTTTTCTATAACTTCAATTTCACTGTCTGCGACGGAAAAGTCGCTAACGAGCTCGGAAAAGTACGAAGCACTAATTCTTTACAATTATATACAAATATATGTATGTACAGGACAATACAATATAAATTTACGTTAAGACCTCACAATCGATTCTTCATTGTTGAGTATCATAGAGATTGTACTGCGAGATTCGTCAATTCTGTTTAACATCGCAATATTGCAGATAATTGTTTATCAACTTATCGCTTTAGTTTCAATCAGAGTCGTTATCATCGTCATCTGATTTGATAGCGTAAGAAACAGGCTTTCGGGAACGACCGACAGGTTTTCTTGGAGGTGGAGTGTCTTCTACTTCCATGGACTCGTCCTGATCAGAGTCGTCCTTCTTGTGTTTTTTCTTAACCTGAATTAATTAAAAAGCAATTTTATTACAAGTTGTTATTCAGCTAATCATTTTCAACTTAAAAAAAAAAAACTTACAGGGCTAGACTTGACAGAGAACATGTCGTCTGAATCTGAGTCCGATCTGATCGCCTTTTTCTTAGTCGGTCGTTTTGCTGTTGTTTTGCCAGCACCATTTTCAGCTTTTTTCTTAGGCGCAGCTAAAAATTACAGTTAATAATATAATAATAAATTTAAGTTTTTAATTAAAGAATATCAACCAAGTTTGAGAGTTTACTCATACCTTTCTTAGGAGGAGGCTTGACAGGGGAAGAGTCTTCACTGGAAGAGATCATCACTGGTGCAGACTTCTTTTCTGGAGTACCCGACGAAACTAATGAATCGAATAATTCTTCGGAACTAGCTGTAAAATAATTCATAAATTATTTAATGTCAACTCAATGCATCGACAAAAATATTAAATATACAAACGTTTTGCTTCTGATGATGATCCTTTCTTTACTTTGACTAAATCGTCATCTGAATCACTATCAATAGGGACAACTTTTTTTGAATCCACTTTTTTCGTGGCAGGTTTTTCATCATCTGAACCAATGCTGTGGAGTTCAGCTTCACTGCTGTCAGACTCTTCACTGCTAAGCTTGTACTTCTTTTGAACTGAAACCAAGTTTATTTGTAAAATATATTTTTTTTGTTCATTTACATTCTAAGTCAAAAGTAAAGAAGATCACAAACCAGCTGCTGCTCTACGAGGCTGTCGTGGTGCTGGTGGCGGGGACAGAGAATCAAAGTTGATTTCAACATCACTCCCGCTCTCAGAGTCATCAGAGTTCTTATCTTTTTTCGTTTTCTTTGTAGGTTTGAAAGGCAACTTGGATTGTTTTAAGCTTCCTTTTTTGCCTTTCTTTTCTTGTTTATCTGGAGAAGAGCCTACTCGGTCATCTAGAGTCTTAGCATTGCCTTCGATTAATGCATCAAACTCATCCTTCTCTTCAACGACACCCTTTTCTTTCTTGACCTTCAAAAAAACACAGAAATGGTAAAATCAATCATTTCAATAGTATATTGATTTAATATTTTTCTTTGCATGCATAGTAACATAATTATTATAGTTTGATATAAAAAATTTAATACAAATAAAAGTTAACTCAAGTAAAGATGATATAATTTTAATTTTAATTTTTAAGATGTAATCGTTGTAAAATAAAAATTCTTGTTACCTTGCGCTCTTTTTTTATTCCTTCTTTTTTGTCTTTAACTACAACATCTGCTTTTTCAATCTTCTTCTTTAATTCAGTATCAATCGTAGGTGCTATTCTTCGAGCATTCTCTTCCTTATGGATTTTTCCCATAGGTTTCTTTGCTTTGTTAAGGTCTTTTATGTCTTCCTTCCTTTCTTTTTCTTCAACCTGTTGTGTCAAAATTGTATAAAAAATAATTGGTTTAATAGGCTCACTACACAATTTATATTTATGAGGGAACAAAGTTTACTTCGTTAAGCTTGTTGAGAAGTTCATCTAAATCGTGTTTCCACAGTGACAAAGGCGTCTGAGCTTGCAGTCTGTGCAGTTCAGCAAGCTTGTCATCTTTTTGTCTCAGCAGCTCATCCTTTTTTTCCTTAGTCAAATTCCACATGGCCATACCCAACAAGTAATCATAGTTTTCTTTTACTATGGATGTTGCTGAAACTTGGCTTTCATCTTCTGCATTTTCAGCCACTTCTTCCTAATGATACAAAACAAAGTGACATAAAAAAATGAACACTCATAAATAATATAAATAAATCTACATCAAGTAAATAAACGAACGAACAAAAAAAAAAATTAATGAGTGATTTGTCATTTACTCACTTGCATTGCCTTATTAGTGGCAGCAAAAAGAATTTTTCAAATTGCTTATTGTTGATTTTTTTTATTATTTGAAAATAGAATTTTTCTTTAATTTTCATCTTAGACTTACCAAGACTTCTTCTCGATTCTGTGTCATTTTCCATGCTAATATCGGATCAGAATCATAGCCTTTTCTTACAAGTTCTGCAATCATGTCTTTTTTCTTTTTGTTTTCAATGACGAGAGAACCATCACACTTCTCTAATATAAACCTAGCTTGGTTAGACAATTTGGCAGATTCTGCTTGCAATATACCTTCGAGATAATCTTTCCGTTTTTGATACATATCTAAGCGTACTTTAAAGAATGTCCTCATTATTTGTAAGACATTGTCATATTTTTTTAGACACAAATTTTCGTCAAAAGCGCACATAGACGTTATGGTTGTTGTGTTTTGTAATTTAAATACTTTGTGAAGACCTTCTTTCTCTAAATCATACAATTTATCTTTTGGAAGAGTAACAATAAAGCGAACCGTTATGTCAGTAGAATAATCTTTGAAATCACTAAAAAAATAATCCAAGTGTTTAAAGATTATTCATAAAATTTCAGAAGTAATGGTTTAAATTTTTTTACTTACGATATAACGGCAGGTGCCTTGTCTGTGCCATTGAGCATAGGTTCTAAAACACTTTCTTTGTAAACTTGTGTCCACATGCCGATAGGTAATTCGGTAATCTCAATCTTATCAGGCCCTATTATTGAGATCTCGCCGCTAATGACGTACCGGTATTCACCGCAGCTTTCTACAGTGCCTTTGAAATTTTTATAGTATGGAATCTTAAAAAAAATAAAGTTATAAACATTTATTTTATGTACCTTCGAGTTTCTGAGATATTACATATTATGTATAATATATATTGTATGTACTGTATATTACGTACATTGAATTATAACGTATTCAAACTTACCATAGGTTTTGGATCAGCACCATCCATCATTCTAAGAATGTTTTCAATAATTTCTCTAGGATTGTAGTTGGGAATCTTTGTCATATAACCAGTACCAATACCGTCAGCGCCGTTTACCAAAACCATAGGAATGATTGGTGAATAAAACGTTGGCTCAATCTTCTTGTTGTCGTCATATTCATAAGTGTATATGGGGTCATCATGTTTGTGAAAGATGAAACGTGCTAACGGACTGTACAATGTAAATGGTCAAATGAAAAAATATCAGAGGTTGGAAAAAATTAATTAGATGCGTTATTATATATACCTAAGTTTGGTGTAAATGTAACGAGCACTGGCAGCGTCCTTACCACCTGTACCCCTCGTACCGAATTGACCAATGGGCTGTAGCAGATTAATGTTATTGCTGCCCACAAAATTCTGTGCCAAATTAACGATTGTGGCCGCGAGGGACATTTCACCGTGATGATAGCCCGACATTTCAGCAACGGCACCACTCAGTTGCGCTACCTTCACTTCCTTCTTATCATTCCTTTTAAAGCAAGTGTATAATACTTTTCTCTGTCCAGGTTTTAAACCATCTATCATGTTTGGGATTGATCTCACGTTATCGTAATTGCTGTAAGAAAATGCACAATGTAGACCAAAATAAAAAATTCATTGAGAAGATGTTCACTGCAATAATACCTGAAAAGTACAAGTTCGACGTTGATAAAATCTGAGAAAGAAATGGCTCGGGTGTCTTTTTCGTAAAGGTAGCGTTCACCGAGACCGATTTCTTTCCGCCGCTTCGTTTCCTCCATATAGTTAGTCAGCCACTCTTTGCGTTGTTCAATGCACTTTTTACTAAAAGCCATAATAATGTTCTGATCATCCTGTTCGCCATCATACCTAAATCGAATTCGATGGCGAGCCATGTTCTGAAAGTATTCCTTGGACTCTTTTGAAGTAGACGTACCCAAACCTAAGATATTAAAAACAGAAAGCTTTAGGTAAATTATTTACTTTTTTTTTTTTTTTTTTCTACAAAAAAGATGACTTTTACAACGATTAATATGAAATAACAAACCTTTGTAGTATTTGATGGTGTAAGTGTGCGAATTTTCAGTTTCTTTTTTCCACGTCTCAAACTCTGGTATCGAGAAAAATTGCAACTCATGATTTCCCTTTTTGGCTTTTACAATTGGTGTAATGAATTCTTCAATAAAGTTTAGTTTCAACAGAGATGGCCAATTGTGATGAATGAAGTTGATCAAAAGACCTTTGATGTGGGATCCATCCTAAAATTATAAACAAAGTAATTGATTCTCTTTGTTTTTGTTATTAAATTAATATAATTAAATTAATGTAATGATGAAATTACGTGGTCCTGATCAGTCATGATCATGATTCTTCTATATCTTAATGTTTTTAAGTCATCCATAGTTTCATATTTCTTTTTGTATTGCAGACCAAGAATTTTTATTAAATTGTTGATTTCGGAATTTTCAAGAATCTGTTTATGTGTGGCTTCTCTTACATTAAGAATTTTACCTAAAAATTTTTCAGGAATAAAAACAATTCTAAATAAATTTAAAAATCGAAATGTATTTAAAGGTATCCAACCTTTAAGAGGAAAAACTCCAAATTTGTCGCGACCAATAATACCAATACCAGACATAGCCGATGCTTTGGCTGAGTCTCCCTCAGTCAATATAAGCGTACAGTCTAATGATCTTCCTGTACCAGCATCATTAGCATCTTCCAATTTAGGTATACCTGTGAATACGTTATTGTTAATTAATTATTTTATCAGGTATTAAATACTTGACACAATTCAAGATAAAACGTACCAGATAGTTTTTTTTGTTTTGATTTAGGACCGAGTTTTTGAAGTTGACTATCGGCTTTGAATTTGGCCCATGACAAGACAGATTCAACTATTCCACTTTTTGTTACGTTGTTGATGAATTTATCACTAAGAGTACACTTGGAGCCAAAACTTTTTTGTTGCAGTGTCATATTCTCTTTGGTTTGAGAGTCAAATGTTGGATTGTTTATCAAGCAGTTGACAAACACCCAAAGATGGTTTTTAATTTGAAAAGGTTTGATTTGAAGGCCAGCCTTATTTTTTTTCTTCAGTGTCTCTATAAGCTGTTTTACAATCAGATCGACTACATGGTCAACATGACGACCACCCTGAAAAAAAAGTTAAAAAGCAATCAATCAACATTGCATATCTGCACATAAATGAGTTTAAAAATATTAGATATCCAACCTTTGTTGTGGCTATACTGTTGACAAAGGACATTTGTTGAAAGCCTTTGTCGGATAGTGTCACAGCAACTTCCCATCTAGGGCTGCTGTTTTCGTAAGTAATTTTTAGAGGGTTTCCGGTATCATCCTCTTTTCCTTTTATAAATAGATCAACATAGTCTTTGAAAGACTTGATAGGTACTTTTGTGCCATTCAAGTAAACTTTCACACCTCGAGTTGAGGCAGCAACGTCATATGCTCTTCTAGCCATCAATGAAGTAATATCATCATCGAGTTTGTCCATTTTGAATTTTTTCAAGTCTGGCGAAAATGTTACCTGAAATAAATAATATCAACATAAAACATGTTTTAATTTTTTTTTTTTTTTAACTTCTTGACATTGTTACCTTTGTGAAATCTTCCCCATGGAAATCTTTGATCTTTGCTTCAGAGGCCTTTCCCATGTTATCACCCCACGTTTGCTTAAAAGATTTTTTATACTCTTTGCAAGCAGTTTCTACTGTAAAGCGGTGACTGAAAATATTACACAGCTTAGCACCATAACCGTTTCTGCCTCCAGTTACTTTTTCCTCTTCATCATCATAATTAGAAGACGTCAGTAAGTGACCAAAGATCATAGTTGGAACAAACATTTTTTCTTCTTTGTGAACTACAACTGGAATACCTTTACCATTGTTCCAAACAGAAATAGTATTGTTGTCGCTAAAATTAACAATAATTTGATAAAATTAATAATAATTAGTAACGTTCTAAAAAATCAAAGATCTGTCGTAAAAACATCAACTTACACATCTACGTCAATTTTGATAGAGTCCATTTTGGGATCACGCTGTTTGTTATCAGCTGCGTTAACCAAAATTTCGTCAAAGATTTTGTACAATCCAGGAACATACTTGATCTCTTTCTGAATCATCATCTCCTTTTCTTTGTCATAAACCCACATATTTTCTTGTACGGGTTCAACAGAACCAATGTAAGTGTCAGGCCTGAGCAAAATATGTTCCAGTTGGGTCTTCTTCTGGTACATACCCTCGATAGTCTTCTCTTTCTTTTTCGCTGCAGGGGCGGCATTTCCAGCCCCATTTTCCATAGCACTCATTTTGAACAAGTATTTGCTAGTACACCTGTAAATGATAAACGAAAATTAACCCTGGTTACTTGGAATGGTTACAGATGTTTTTGTACTGAATAAAAAAAAAAAATTTAATTTAGTTTCACGGAATATATAATTTAGTAAATAACGATAACGTTTGTATATTTTCTAAGATGCAATCAATAGTTGTTTCTCATTATCAAACTTTTCATATTATATTTCTTAAAAATGTTAGGAAATAGTGAAAAAAATGACTATAAATGCTTGAGAGAAATCAGGTAGAAGAAGTTGACCCTAAAAACCCTAGAGCAAATAGTATACAAGCACTATGGGCACAATGAAGTTAAAAAAAAAAAAAAAAAAAAAAAAACCCTGTGACAACAGCAACGAATAAATAGTTGGAAGGTGAAAAAGCAACAAAAGTATTGAAACTGTTAATGATTTGGCGGGAAACAGCAATCCACATTTAATTGACCCAGTGCTCTCATCAGTGACTCTCAGCTCTCTCTCTTTCCCTCTGTCTTTGAAGTAGAGGGACGCGGCGTGCAGAATGGATTATTCAACAAACACCTGTCCTCTACTCTCGTACTAAATGTAATCTGAATCTTTCACCACCTTCCGTACTTGTTTTCGTTCAAGAAGAAAGACTGATCCCTCTCTTCCAAGAACCACAAGCGAACAACCGTCTCTTGTGTTCCTTACTTCAAGAGTACCTAGGTCCGATTGTCCGGTGGTATAAAGTGTATTTACTCTTTTAGCGTCCTTTAAAGAGGATATGGCTCACGTACGCTGGTATATTTAAGAAAGTGGAGAGAAAAAAAAATATCGAGATTACAACACTAAGTACTTGTACCTTAAAAATCACTCACTAGAAGGGGGAAAAAACGATTAGACAACGGACAGTGGGTGCGCAGGGACACCATGACAAAAAATTTATGTCGTGTGAAAAATCTGACAGCTATACCGTGAAACCTACCCGTCACACTCTTATATACCTACTTAGTCGCTGCTTGAGAGTAGTTGCTCTACTAATACACTTATGTCTTATTCGGATCACGATGGCCTTGGTGCCCTATAACTCCTATATGAGTACTCAAGGACAATCGTATCAGACCGGGGACCAGAGACGTCCGTTAGGCAGGCGCGCACATGATGTATATATACAACAACATATAACCTAACTCGAGCTCCGTTCGCTCTTTGTCCTTTATGGATGACACTACCCAAAAGGACGAAAGGACTTTCACCCTCAATTCATAGTTATGGTATGGCGCGCATGCAATACCTATATATATATATCTGTATCCTGCTGTAAAGGTAAATCGACGGTTGGATCTGTTCAATACACAAGTATGTGTATACACGAAGAGCGAGAGAAGGATCTTGTAGGTCTCTACATAGAGAGCAATTTTGAAAAATCAAGAAACGTGCAAATTTTTAGTTTTAGGTACATATTTATCGGGGTCGTGGGTCCTTTATGAGACAGTCTGGACTTACCTTCGTGCGGATGATGTTGTTCCCGTCGGATGGATCAGCCGATGAGGTGTATTGAACTAATTTAACATGTATAAAAAAAAGTATTTAGTTGGACTGTGTTTATTCGCGTTTTGTTGGGCGAAAATGCGCCGACCGACCAACTGCCGAGGGGAAACTGCAAAGAGAATGATTCAAGCACGAAGTCGGCGACTCGGCACTCGGCACGACGGCAGAGAAGCCTGAAGTTGTGTTAACCGAAGTGTATTCTACCCCGTCGATGAAATATATATGTAGGTATGCGCACAATATGGAGCGGGGGTGCGCGGGCGGACGGCGGACTGAGTCCGCCGGACTCGCGGACGCGGATGAATTGGAAGGTGTGTTTGCATGTGCACGCGTTTTAAGTATACGCGACTTTTCTGTGGCGTCTAAAAAATAAATTATTCGATAGACTGTTACATTAAAATTTGATCTTTGGAAAAATTGTTTCAGTTCAAAATTTTTTAATAGGGTTACTGTCGAATAATTCGTTTAATTTTTTTATCATGTCAAACACATAAATGAACTAGTCAAAAAATTACGCTTACACGTCATTCTCTTTCCAAACTTTCCGTTCCAATTGTTCTTCGCTGTGCGGGCTTGGCTTGTTCTACTATTTATTTACTTTTTGAAAATTTTTATTGTTAACTCTTTCCCCCTCTCTTGTTCACATGATTAAATCTGATAGTGCGAACGAACCAATAGCATCAGGAAGAGAATTCATTTGAATTTGTGATTATATTAAAAATTTACCATTTGCTTAAGTACCTCAACTATATAGGTATGAAACGCCAATTAACATTGTAAAAATATTACTCAAGGTGATGAATTTTGGAATCTGCAAGAGTATAAGGATTTTCGACATAAACACCACTGACAATCCTATACTTATTCTTAAGGAGGCTTGAGCGTTTGGTGTCGTATCTATTGAGGGGCCCCTGTGGGGTACTTGTCATACAAATGATTCTTTGTAATATTTTTTTTATAATCATTTTGATTATACACATGTGTGAACAAAATAGCAATAATACGTGGAAAAGTCATTGGGAAAATCGATATTAAAAAATTTATTAGTTTTCCCGAGGTACCTTGTGTAAAGATGACGGCCCTCCCACGATAAAGCTGACAACACTGTACTCTCTTGCTCTCATCTGCTATTATATACCTATACTTGTGTTAGACTTGAATTTTTTTTAAATAATAGATTCTTTATACTTTCAAGTACATGTACCAATTTAATGTGTGGGCTCATAGCTTTTTATTGCGGTACGGTAGTCTATTGAATTTCGGGTTCTGTAATGTTGTGTGTTAAAATGACGAATTTTCACAAGCGATTTTCTCGAAAATAAATGTGTTGACCTACCTATTTTGTTTTCCTAAAAAAATCTAGCAAACTTTATCTATATAATCTCTGAATTTCAAACCTATCCAGCATTTAATTCAAAATAAAATTCCGTATAATTTTGACGCGTTTCTTTTGCCCTATATGTTTTCGTATGACGTGCTGACTAATCTTTTTTTGCTGCTTTCAGTGACGAATTGAAATTAATATTTTTCTTGAGTGATATATTTTAAAACTAAATTTAATAAGTATTTAGTGATAAAACTGTGGGCACATACATATATACATTTTTGCGTCATTAGTTGGATACTCCATATTAAGTATAAATGAAGATTGTTAGATAGATGACATATAACACATTTTTTTATCTGTTAAAAATTTAATTGGTACACATCCTGACATCCATATGGATACTGAAATTGGAGCCATATATATAACTGTAGAGATATTAGTGTCTAAGTGTAGAAAACAATGACTTGTTCAATTTGTGATTTCTACTTTTTTTTTTTTTTGTTATTTTTTATCTTAAACAATTGACAAGTCAATAAATGTGTAAATGTCAAAATTATGGCTTCATCAAACGATGATGATGATTTTTGGTACAGTACAGAGAAGAGATCGTTTTGTTTTGAAAGCAACGAGGTTAGTACAATAAGAAAAGATTATTATTAGGATAAAAAATTTTTGAACAATTTTTACAGACTGATAACTTATTTGGAGTATCAAAAAGTGGCACTGCGCAATTGCGAGCTGGTATTTCAAGTATACAAATTACTGACAGCAGTGTCAAGTACAATGAACCTCAAGGAAGTGTGAAACCACTATTATCAATTATATCTGATAGCGTTTTATCAAAAAGTAAATAGTTCTTAATAATTTAATTATCAACTTTAAAAAAAATATATATATTTTGTATTTTACTTAATTTTTTTCATAGTTTTAGAAGCAGATAAGTCTCAATATATTCCTGATGAATCTTCAAGTATGCACCCAGATGATACGCTGAAAAGAATTTTAGTGGGTAAGTCATATTCATTAGAAAAACATAAATCACTAGCCAGCAAAACTGCTTTACTCGATGCCGCTATAAGAAGTGGAAATGGAAATGCTATTTTAGGGGTTTGTTACACTTTAAACTTATGTTGGAAAAATGTTTTATAAAATTGTAATTTATGATTACCATGTATTATAGATTATTTTATTCATTAAAAAAACTTTGAAAAAAAATCTAGTCCAGAAATTGTTGGTTGAAAGGCCAGAAGCTTTGTACACGTACATCCATTACTTATCAATCAGATTGTGTTCAAGTGAAATATGTGATTTACTTACGTAAGGGAAAATTGCATATTAGTGAAGTCAATTTTAATATTTTGAACTTGTTTTTGTAACTTTGACTCATATTTGTTTCAGTGCCCAGGGAAAAACAGTTGATGCCGCCGTGAGTTAACAAAATTATCTTTGTTCTTTTATCTAGAAGTTTTTCTTTAAATTATTGTGCATTTTTTTTATAGATAAGGTGTTTAAATATTACTATAAAAAGTGTCGATAATTTGGATGGTAGCATAGATCCTTTGCTTTTGAAAATTTCAAAACAGTATAATATGTTGTTTACCAATTTACCAGACTGTAGGGAGACTGTTTTTGTTCAATCTTATGTGAAATTACTAGGTATTGTGAAAAGGAAATAATTGATTAAAATACACTTTTATTTTCTGATAGTACAAACCGAATAAAATAATCTTTTAGAGTGGCAAAAACATGCACAAAATAAACTCATTGAACCATTTAAAGCTAATCTCCCAGCCTTAGAGTACTTGAGGCTTACTTGTAAGGATTTCTGGGGTGTTACAGAAACTAATGCTGTTTCACCATTAGCATTAGCTCAAAATCAAGATATTTCACCTCGACAATTTGAAAAAGTGGCTATTGTAACTAGAGCATCGGTTCATGCTTGGGACGATATCGATAACTTATTGCATAAAAAAGGATGGCTTGGTGGAAAAAAACTACAAACCCATTTGCCAATTGAGGAAGTTTTGAGACTCTTACAAGAGCATAAAGCACCATCAGGTATCATGGAAAAATTCTTAAACTACGTAGATAGCAGTAAACGTTTACAAGTGGCAAAGAATCTCAACTGCTACAAGGCAGTTATAAATGTAAGTAAAAAAAGTTTGAAGACCACATTATCCCGTAATTGTACATAGTTTAAAAAGCTGATGATTTTTTTAGTTACTAATGTCTCACGGAGATCGCACAGCCCTGCTGGAATATAAAGCTGATCTTCGTCCTCACTCAGAGGAGTACTTTTATGCTGAAAGCATTCTATGCAGCAACTCAATAAAATGGAGAAATTAAAAAAAAAAAAAACAAAGAAATCTAATGCGTCTTTGTCACCCGAGTAAGTCCTGAGTCAACTCGAACATTATTAACATTTGTGCACGTTGCCACCAGTACCCCGACAAGTGTGTGGATTTCCCACCGAAGTGTATCGACCCCAGTGAAAATTACACACGGCTCTTCTCCCCTCTGACGTAATTTTAAATATGCATGCGCTCGAAGACTTGGGGATCATCCGCGTTGTTGCGCGTGTGTACACGTGATAAGACACGGCGGGACCTTTTCTACCCCTCCACGCATACGTATGTGCATTATTCACGCGCTCGTGTGACTCATGAGACGCGTCGACGGATAGGAATAAAGTTGTCGCTGTAATTTATGAAAGAGGGTATTTTTACCCCGAGAAAATGCTTCCTGCGGGAAAATCCTGCNAATAGTAATCGATAAGTAACAATGGAACAAAGACTTGAGTAACCAAGTGTTGTTCACAGTATGCACCTTATATTGTTCTGAAAATTATCAGTTTTGCTCAAAACCTTTTTAAAACTCGCCAGCTGCCACAATAAAACAGTTTTAAGTAAACTAGAAACTTCCTATATGACATCAGCTTTGAAACTACAAAATGCTTGAGACAAATGTAACTATTATCTTAACAATTTCAAGTGCATACTTTGCAATAACTTGCGTATACTCTGCTTAAGAAAAAAGGTAAACTTTTTCTAGTGTATGTAGATTACTTACTAGCCGGTGTACACTGTGAAATTCAATTCAAATAAATAATTACTCAAGGAAAGTCGATATAATTATAACTTTTAATCTAATAACAATGTCTTCTATAAAAATTCAACACTACTTGACTATCAGTCCTGTGAGTAATTATTGACTTTTCTGATAATTCCTAAATCACAGACTCACCTTTTAAAGTAGACCTCTGTATACTTTTTCAAGTCTACCTTTAATCTCTTCAATGTTCTCACTGTGCACTCTGGAGTGTGGGAGGAGAAGTAAGATTTGGGGGCTGCATTCCTGGTGGCGGTAAAGGAGATGCATAGGGTAAAAAGTAAGGTTGTCCGGGAAAAGGTGGATAACAGCTATCAGGAGGTGGTGGCTGGGTCGGATACATCGCCGCCGGCGGCGGATATATATACTGGGAGAATACAGGTGGATATTGGGCAGGAAATTCAACGGGTTGATAGACGGTTTGCTCTGACGTTGGTAGCTCAGACGCTGGGAGGTACGGAACCTGTATGTAACCTGGTGGCGGTGAATAGTATGGTCCTGCAACGTACATTATTGTTTACGGAATGTATAAAAAAAAAAAAAAAAAAAAAAAAAAAAAAAAATTCATTTTATCGTCAAAAGAATGATTTCAATATTTTACAAACCTGAAAACGTCTCCGGCTCGGGTGGATAAGGGCCTAAAGGCACATACGGCACTTGGTTGTACGTCATTGAATAGGGGTATGGGCCGTTCAAAGGAGGCGGTGACTGAGACTGGATCATCGTCGATTGCTGCTGGGGCAGATGGTTTGGCTGTTGCTGGTGCAACATTGCGTTTATCGGCTGCAATAACTGATGCTGTTGAGCAGGATCGTTTATCATGTCACAGCGATTCTGCATCGTTTGCATGTCAATCTGCTTTCGCTTCCGTATATCGTAGTCGGGTTGGTGCTGTTGCTGACGATACTGATACTGAGGGTTGTGATCGTTGCGATACTTTCCTCCTGTAATTCATGGAACTTACGTTTTTCTTCTTTCTCTACTTAACTTGTGTTTTGAAAGGATTATTTGAAATTCAATAATTATATGAAACATATCAGCTGGTAATTTGAAAATCGGAATGTGCCGTTTGATTTTCCCGCCGATTTGTCTGGCAAAGAGGGGAGGGATTCTTGGAAATAGATATACCAACAATCAAAAAGGAGTGGGAAGTCGAAGGCAAATGATTATACTGGGGTCTGATCGGGGCATTCGATACCTCGCTTAAGTAAGCATTTTTTTTTTATAATCCTTAAACTACGCATGCGCATTATCGTTATTTTTGGTTATTTTATAGGGATTATCGAAAAAACTGCTTACTTAAGCGAGATATCGAATGCCCCGATCAAAGATCCCCTACCAATGCGCACTTTCACCAAGCTACGTTGATGAGTCGATTTTTGGCAATGAGACTGCCTACATTCAGAACAACCTCCATGTTTACGTCTTCCAAGTGAGAAAAGCGTATAACAACTACAGTTCTAGTTAATAAGGACAACTTATACTGATAATCAAGAAGCAAGCCATTGTTTGATTTTGGAGCAGATATAGATTTATTGTTGTGGCAGATAAACGTTACAAATAACAAATGGAAGACTTATCTGGAGCTCCTCTTAGTGCTCTGTCATGTGAAACTAAGGAGCTTATCTCCACTTTGCTTAATCCCAAAAGATTCATCCCGACGCAAAATGGGTTATCAAGGTTAAATTTTTATCTTCTAATGTTTAAGTGTGAGTGCGCGCGTTGGGTTAAGAGTTTTTAGCAATTGTTTATTTCAGAGACTGGAAAGGACTCGCACATGTGTGCAAGATTGATCAAGAGACGATGCGAAATATTTATCATGATGCAGACCCAACAGGACGCGTATTATCCATATCACAGAATAAATTAAAAGACTTTAATTTGCAACATTTAAAAGAAGCTCTAGAGAAGATTGAGAGATGGGATGTTATTGATGATACCAAAGAATTGATGGGTTTGTTAAAATTTTGTATTAACAATGATTTTTTTAGGTGTTAAAAACAATTGTCGTGTATTAACGTACAGTATTAAATGTTTAGAGAAGGATGCAAAATCGTACTTGGAAAGACTACAAAAATCTCAAAATACAGCAGAACTAAACGATAAAGACGTGGACTCCAAAATATTGACGATTGGTAACCCCACTAAATTGTTTAAAATTCCGATTAATTTTGTATTTTGATTAAAATTTATAAAAACAATGATTCTGGCAGATGATTTAATTCTAATGGAACAAGGACAGGATACACAGCATTATGATGCTTTTGTACTGTATGCACAAGAGGACACAGAATTTGCAAACGAAGTAGTACAAAACTTGGAGAACGAAAATAACATGAAGGTAATTGTTGCATAATATGTAAGTATGGGTGGTTGCAAAATTGTAGAAATTGATAAAACAATGACACTTTTTTTAGCTGTGTTTGAAAGAACGTGACTTAATTGCTGGTGTATCGTTTGAATATGAGGCCATTCTGAGGTTAATCTTGGAGCGTTGCAACAGGCTTATTTTAATATTAAGTCCAGATTTTTTTAAAAGTCCTGCCAATGAGTTTTTTTTGAATTGTGCACAAGCAGCTGGAATAAGTAAGTTTCCATCGAACATTTTGCATACCAAGTTATAATTATTATCAATACATTTGCTGTAGTATATCTGATGATGACTCACAGCTTTATGTGTTATGTATATGTGTACGACAATTCTACTTTAATAAGCTGTGACAAACTTATAAATTTCAAGTTTCTCATTAAAATTAAATTAATCTTAATTTAAAAAAGAAGTTAGCAGGTTGTTATCATTTCAAATGTCAAAATGATTAGAACATTGAACTTGTTAGAACAAAGAAAATTGATGATTTTACTGCTAGTTATGTAAAAAAAAAATTTATAGAAATTATTAACAAAATTTTTCAACTTTGCAGATAAAAAACCGGAAAGAAAAATTATTCCTTGTATTTACAAAACATGTGAATTACCTCCTCAATTGCAATATTTTTCGAAGATTTACTATAATAAACTTTCACCACATTTGTTTTGGGAAAGACTGCTTCATTCAATCAAAGTTGTAAATGGAACTACTATGAAAGTCAAACAAAATAATCGAACGGAGTCTAAATTATCAGAAACAAAGAGACAAGGTTTAAATACATTTTTCAAGAAATCTGTAGAAAAACAACTTAAAGACATGCCAAAAGGTTCAGATTCAAAAAAAAGTCATCTGGAAATTTCCCCTGCTTATAAAGAAGCTGAGCCACAGAAGACACCTGTTAAAGAAAGTGTTTCAGAATCTACTCTTGAACTTCCATCATTAGATGGATTAAGCACATTACCATCACATTCAAGTGTTGAATACAAACAAAAAGATAGGAAAAAAGATAAGATCGGGAAAAGTTACATAAAGAAATTTCAAACTTTAATTGAAAAATTTTAATGCCTTAAGTAAACTGTTAAACTGTTCGTACTTTTGTTAATATTTATTGTAAAGGATGTGTAAGTTTTATATTGCTACGAAAAATGACCTGAGTGTTCTGAATAATTTTTTTCAATTTAAAACAAAATTTAAGATACATGTAAAACCTTTTTTGGAATTGTGAAACGACTGTGATAATATTTTAAGATGAATGCTGCATCTATAATGGTTAATTAAATATTTGTGCGATAAAGAGAATTATGGAGTTAGTTCTTTCCTTACCTTCGTAGTTCTTCTTAAAACGTGGAGCCATGCCATTCGACTTGTTAACTCGCTGCATATCTTTATTGCCATTTTGTTGCGGCTGTTCGTTTGGATTGTTGTTTTTGCCGTCGTTTCGGATTCTGTTGTCAATATTTGGATTGTGCGTCAAGTTACGGAAATCAGGGTTCCGATAATGATAATTCATCCTCTGTCCAGCTGGTCTTGGAATATTAGTGTTTTGATCCTGATCTCGATGTCTGGGTGGTGACGATCGGTTGTTGTGTCGTACATGCTGGTTATTGTGTTGATAGTTGTTGGCTTGTTGGACGATGTTGTCGCTACAAGGAACTGGACCTATTATCATGGTTTATAACTTTTATAATTAAAAATATTGGAAATAAAAGAGTGAAAGTAATTTTTATATACCATTAACCACAAATGAATAGTTATTTGGATCAGGAGCGGGATGAGCGAAGAAAAACGTATTATCGTTAAATGACGGACCATTTGTTCCATTGGGCCACATGTTTTGAGACCAATAATACTGAAAAAAGAAAAAAATTTTTTTTTATCAAAATATATTCTATAAAACTTCATCATATTTTAATATTTATACTGCTGTTACCTTGACTCCAACGTTATAAAATTGTCGACCATTAGCAGGATCTACAATAATTAAATATTGGAAAATTTAATAAATGGTACGGTTAAATTAAGGGTTTGTTTATGGCAAAGTTTAGTACAAGTGAGAATGTTAAACATACATTTTCTAGCTATCTTAATTTCATTTTTTCATTAACATATGAAGTAAAGTATTTATACCTGAAGGCGCTTCATTAGCTTTTATTTCATAAGTTTTCGTAGCATCGTAACTAACGATTTCTGAATCAGCAGGAAAACGAGGGATAGGTTGAAAAGCACTTCCTGTAAAAATTATTTAACAATAATCTATATTTTGAAATAGAAATCCTTTAAAATTTACCTGCATAAGGAGGATAAAAAGTATCGTTATTATCTGCACGTTGATAATTTTGTTGATTAGATGAATTGTCTTCATGATTAATACTTGTAGTAATCTGTTTCTGAGATGAGTGCTCATTTTGTTGATTGTTTACATTAATTTTGCTTTTTTTGTCACTAATCCTTGGTTCTACCGATTCCACAGATATGTGGGTACTTTCAAGAGTATTTTTCAAATTTTCAACTTGATCCTAAAAATAAAATGTACTTGTTATTTTAAATTGTAATTGAAATTAAGTTGACTGATTACCTTGATATTATAATCTTTAAGTGCCACGCGGTTTTCGTTTGGTATTCTAGGTTGATTTTCTGTGCTGTAAAAAAATTTGTATATTTATACTTCAAAATCTCATATTAAACATTTTTAATTACTTTTTATAATATTAGTCTTACTCTTCGGTCTTATTAACGGTGTTTTTAGCCACACTTTTAGAGTTATTTAGATTTTTTTCATTATTTCCATCATTAGGGACTTGATCTTTTGTTCTCCGATTTGGTCCACCATTCCAGGGCTTCTTCCACTTTTGATCTGAAAAGTGAAAAATATAAACGATGTGTACAATCAAATTCATTACTTTTTCAATTGATATTAATTGTGTAGTATGTATCAATTTTTTTCTTAAAAAAAAATTCATAAACAGTAATTTTGACTTACTCTGATTAATTGCGCTCCTTTTATTAGGAGACAACGCCCAAGTATTATTATAGTTATTATAATTAGATCTTGGTTTTCGTTGTGGGTAAGGTTTTAAGCTCTCGTAAGATACTGTTATTTTTTGTCCTAATTCCTCTACAAATATAACTACGGGTCCATGATTCTTACTTATTTCCTGAATGTGTCCAGTATAAAGTAAAGCTTCTAAACCATTTGACTTAGTTATTTCTTTGAAATTATCCCAATTAACTTGATCAATTGGGAAATTATTATTAGTTTTATCATTATCTTTGAAATCAATGGACACTAAGCATTTAGCTCCAACTTGTAATTCAGATGAATTAAATTTTGTGAACCCCGACCTCCTCATTTCTATTTTACATTCAATAAATATATCTGTAGATAAACAATAAAAATAAACCAATAATATTAAAAAAAATTTTAACATACCCCTTCTGATTTCAAGCCATATGTCATAATCAACATTGCGATAAATGTTTGGATCTAAAGCTTTTGCTACTCTATAAGGAAAAGGTGTAATGCCTTTTTCTAAAAGTAGTGATTCCTCGTTATCGTCACTTTCTTCAAGTTTATTCAACAAATCTACTGTCAGCTGACTAAAAATAAGTTAAAAAAAAAAAATAAAATAAAATAAGTACTTTGAGGATTTTTCGCGAGTTAGATAAAAAAGAAAAAAAAATTACTGACTTTCTATTACCTAAGTTCCCTTTTAGAAAGAACTTGTCATGTCTCAAGTAGTTATTTCTTTCATGCAACATTTTATGAACTGTTGCATCAACGTTACTCATTTTGAAAACATTTTTATACAGTATCTGATAAATAATGGCTAAAAAAAAAAAATTTCAAGTAGCATTACATAAGAAAATGATGTAAAATTATTTCAATGTTTACTGTCTATGAATTTTCTTTTAAAAAACTTTTGATCTAAATTTATACAACATTTCTCACTAGGAAAGTCAATATTGAATAAATTGACAATGGGAGTAAATCCCATTTGTGGAAGATGTACTCTTTTATTATGCAAACTCACACTGGCAAAATCCTGCAATAGCTGTGTGCTCTTGATTGTAAACAGTTTCATACTGTTTTGGTGGCATGAAGCAAAGGAGAAAGTTCTCCTGACGTCGATTGTCAATGGCTACTTTTTTTGTCAACTTGTGTCCATCAAAAATAACCACGTTTTTTTGGTACAAGAGTGACATGGCCAAAATTTCGTTTTCCCCTCCCCACTCGGTAACACAGGCCATTTGATCGCAGTAACTTCCTACTGGTATCATTGTTTTCTAAAAAGCAAACGTCAAGAAAACGCTCAAAACTGTAAGTATTTCTTGGTCAATGTTTTCGAGGTCCAGTGCAGCTGCTTACCTCCTGGAAGAGTTGCTTATTGTCTCTTATGTACTCAACGCATTCTTCCCTGACCCGAAGATGGCTTCGCTGATTGTGATAGACTTGTTCGGCGATCGCCCTGAAGAGACACGTGGGATCTTTGGGACCATGTTTTCTGTAAAAGCCTTCATTCTGCAACCACTCGTCTACAGGTTCGATCATTCGCTTCGGTGTTTTTCTCGGATCCATGTACCTTCAACAGTTCAACACACACAAAATCGCAATATTTTCTCATAGCCCAGGAGTCATGAAACTTATAAAAATCAAAGTATTGTAATTGGCGATGTTTTTGTATACAGTGGATTGTAAAAACTAGAAAATGACTTTTCAATCCATAAGCCGGTCGTCGACTCAAAGGGGTTATACGGTCGGCCATTCGTGTGTGTAAGCATTTGTTTGCACGAATCGACCCCGAAAATCCATCACATCGTTCATTCAAAAGTTAACGAGGTAAAGAAAAACCAAGACCTTTTGTATAGCGCTAACCACAAATATCATCGCACACAGACAAACAACGCCTATCAAAAAAAAAAAAAAAAAGTTATTAACTAATGATTTTATATACTCACGGGAGATTGTTGTTACGATACATTTTCACTCATGCAAATGTAACAGAAAGAGACGAAGCCAGCTACACGACAGGAACAAAAACAAAGCAGCGAGGCACACTGGACTCTTTGAACTTTGTACGACGACGATGCGGTAAGTAATCAAATCTACGACGATGCCCACAAGATTTAGAAAACCGCAAGGTAAGTAAGTGCTCAGAAAAAAGACTGCACGGGTACTTGAGTAGTAGACATACCTATATGTGCAGAGAGAGAACACCACCGAAGGAAAATGAGATCCAAAAATTTTTTCTGTGCTGTACAAGTATACTGCAGCATGTGTGTGTGTGTGTACTTATCGCTGCGTGTGTGCACACCTATATATGCATATTAAGTAGTTGCCTGCAGGCGGGTTTTTTTCTTAATAACCGCTAATTGTTCCTCGAAATCTCAAAGCGAACAGACGAAAGGGAAAAGACATCACATACCTACTTAATAGACATTTGCTTATTTCATTCCCTATACTGGATCGTACTCCCTTTATTCTTTAATTACGTTTTATTTTTTTACTTTATAAACGATTATGTAAAAGTGAGGGATCACACATAAGTCACAAAAAAAAACCGTTTAGCACGTGCACGTGTGTGCCTGTTTTCGCCAACGGCGCTAAAATATAAGTGAAAAATCCTCTCACAATGATGAAATAAACGGAGTGCCGGCCGGTGAATACTTGCTGCGGATGGTGGTGCTCTTTTTTCTCGGATATGTAACATGTAATATATTATACGATCATGTGTGTATACAACAGACATATATACATATAATTATCAGAATTTCTATTACCAAATACCTACTTATTACCTACCTGATAACTGATAAAAAAAAGAAAAAATGATAAAAGGTCTGATAAATATCTGATCGGAGATGAGTATAGTACTATGGCACGTGCCTCACGGCGACAAGATTACAAAAGATGGGTTATTTGGCCATATTATATTGGGGTTAAAAGGGGACATGTTCGCGGAAGCAGCATACCAAATCGGTATAACGGAACACCGACATTACCGACAGAATATACAATTAAAGGAACACAAACTCGCGAACAGCCCTGTTACGTGCTAATATAATTTTATGTAAAAGATATCTGTAAAACATGGCTTTAAGAGCGGATATATGTATATTAATATTATACTTACTTAGGGAGTCATTTGGACCAAACAAGATTGCATCATCGTATTATTTGTTGCAGTTTCCGGGCGATATTGGAAATTTTCCAATACAATGATTGGTAAAAAAAAAAAGCATATTTTCAATGCGTATAATAAATGCAACTGTGCGCCCTAATAGTAAGTAATAATAATTATACATCCGGAAACCATACAAAAAAAAAAAAAAGTACACACGTATACTATTGACCGTTTGCTGCACAACCTTAAAAACGTTATTTTGACAAATTTTCAACGTTTCAAAAGGAGTTGTGTTTATATATTGGATGAACGTAAATAAGTGAAAAATTTTCGCTCATATTTTTGTAACCAAAAATCATAAATGTCGACGACTATTTTTGAAAACAATCGACAGCATCTTAAGTATGAATATTCAGATTGTCATAAATTGGCTCAACCTCCCACACAATTAATAACTGCCATCCTAATGGTAAATAACACCTATACGCAGCATATATTATACTAATTGCACGCAAATTAAAACTCGAAAAGAGTCTAGCAGTGATTTTAAGTAAGAAAAATCATCGGACATTTTCGAAGTTTTCAAAACGTTTTTATTCATTAAAACCTCATGATTGTTCCAATAAACGTTGTTAAAATGTTCTGCTCTATTAAGAAAACGTTCTTTATTTAATGACTTTATGCAGAGAGAGAGAGAGAGAGAGTCATATATTATGTATATACATATATTAAGCCGCGCAATATAATACAAAAGGAACTACCTATGCATATACATACATACGTATACGTGTTATCCATGGTATAAAATAATCATTCGATTTCCCTGTGAAAGCAATTCTTGACAGCGCGACCCCTTATACATACATACACTCGATTCAACAAACCCTACAATTATCCGCGTGTCACAGTAAAAGGACCATCCACCCCCCCCCTCTACCCCCGCCACGTCTTTCACGGTTTGTCCCGTTCATCAATTGTGTTTTCTCCCTCAATGGCAATAACGAGGCGTCCCCCCTACATACATTTTTTTCTACACGCTCCATTGTGCGGATTTTGTATTTTTTTATTATTATTCTCACACTATATGTATACACACCGATTTCACCCGGCGAGAGGGGGCTCTCTGTAATATCGTTTCCACCGCAGTCACATGGACAACAATAGCGGAAAAACCCCCCCACGGGAGCTTTAACACTTACACCCTTATTCCCGAACAATATATATATATCATCGATCAATTAAGTTATGTATATATAATATACCTGTTTTCTAGTCGCAGCTACCGGACCCACGCACACACGTACGCGCACACATTGTAATTATTATAAACACGCGCGCGTGTCGACATAAGTATTATTATTATTATGGCTCCATCGTCGGGATGTTTGATGATATTGGCGATCATCTGCGCAACTGTCGCCCTCGTTGTTGTTTCCGCCAGCAGAGACGACGTCAACGAGTACGCCTATCTGATAGCGGACCTGCAAGACTATCTTGCCATCACCGGAGTCATCGTCCTTTACGACGGCAATGATTGTACGTATGTGATAATTATATATAATTATATACAATTAAAAGAGAAAAAATGAGGCTGCATCGACGGGGTACAAAAATTAATGACCATTGGAATATACTGTGCATGTATATTTATGTTTGCAGCCGTGTTCGTGGGACAGCTTGTAAGACAGTTGTCCCGGAGGCATCAGCGCTACTCGATCGGGCTGAGGATGAGCTCGGGCCTCGCGACGGACAACCTGGAATCGTTGGCCAACGGCTCGTCGAAACTCCTCTTTGTCGTGTTCCTCCGCACGGAGGAGGACCTGGTGGGTCTGGCGCGTTACGGGCTGCGGATCAACAAGTTGTGCCAGTTTCACGCGTGTCTGGTGGTGTTCGCGGCGCCGATGCGGGCTTATTGCGAGGAGCCCTGGGACAACAGGTTGGCCCTCGACTTTGGGGCCGAGGTGCTGGTGAGGTGCGCCGGTGGTGGTGGCCGAGGGATCAGGGAGTGGTTCGCCGTTGGCGCGGGGGCGAGGGTGCAGGTGCACGAGTACCTCGAGTGGAGCGTGGCGGATCGGCTTGTCGTCAAAAGCCACCCGGTGCTGTACGAGAGACGCAGGAATCTCAGCGGCGTCACAGCGAGAACGGCCACTATTGAGGTATTTTATTTTTTTTTTTTCCTGACCTAACAGTCCGTTGCATTTTACTTTTCATCCTGCATCGTAGGTAATTCGCATACATAAGTTTTAGTCATTTGAGCCGCTTATTCGTTCATTCCTCTACCTTTGATGCAAAATATGAGAAAAAAGAAAACAAAAGACATCCGAGTTGGCGTAATTTCCTTCATCCCGAAATCAATTATTTCTCGAAGGGATTATATTTTCTTTGACCGAGGCGTCGATGTATGCTTCTTTTCCTAAAAAGCAAGACGCCCCCCCCCCCCCATTGATACCGAGATACTTGTAAATAAAAAAAAAAACTCGGTAGGCAGCGAAACCACGCGAGCGCAACCGAAGAGCCGCGAGGGACGACCTGGTGCCGAGAATCGTCAGCGAATTGGCATCCGTGATGAACGTCACCTTGAATTACCAACCCTCGTCCTTCACCTACGGCAGCCTAAACAAGACCAAGCGCAAATGGACGGGGATTCTGGGGAGATTGCTCAACAACTCGCTCGACGTGGCTGCCGCCGAGATGATCATCAACCGGGACAGGGGCGAGGTCTTCGACTTGACGGTACCGATCATAGTTTCCAGGACCAAGCTGTTCATCAGGATGCCCGACAACACCGACGTTCCTTGGAACGCCTATTTGAAGGTATATCTATATATATATATATATATATATATAAACATTGGCGTTGACATTTTGAATTATTTCGGTGACCTCGTGTTATAAAAATATTTTAAATATGTACGTACGTACTACACGCAGACCTTCAACAAAAAAGTCTGGATGGGGCTCGTCGTTGTCATCCTTGTCTCACTCTTCGTACTTACCTGCATCAGAGTAATTATTGCCAACGTCAAAACTGCCAGACATGATCACTACGGTTATTTAATCTTGGACAATTACATGCACGTTTGGGGCATATACTGCCAACAGGGCTTGCCAGGTCACATATATTTATACATATAAAATATACATTTATCTTATTATTATGTGTATGCATGTATTATACATCGATAGATTGATTGGACGTTTACAGATGGCTCGGAGACGACGTTGCCCCTGAAACTGGCGTACTTTTCGATATTCCTGTCCGCGTACCTGCTCACGTCGGCTTACTCGGGATCGTTGACCAGCTACGTGACGGTTTCCATGCCGGCTATGCCCTTCACCGATTTGATTGGTTTCATCAACGACAGATCGTACAAGCTGATCGTCTTGAAGAACAGCGCCGAGCACGATGTCTTCCTGGTATGGGTGTTAATTATTTTCCTCTACCGAGTTGTATGGACTTAATTTACCATATATAATTAATTTTCATTGGTCATACGGCAAGAATCCAAACGACGATGTGTACTATCGGATGAGCCTCTTGCTGGACAGCTACGAGAATCTACCCTCGAGCTACATCAAGGGTTTCGAACAGGTGTGTTGTTGGATATTGTCGAATTTTCGTCAAGAGCAATTACGTGGGTTTATTAACATTATACCCTCTTTGTCGACAGGTGTGCAGCCAAAAGACCGCCTTCTTCGCGAGCGTGGCGATGCTGAGCAAAGTACGTGGCGCGACTCCTTGCGAGCTCGCTGGCGTCCCGGGAGGTAGAGTCAGGAAGATGGGCATAGGTCTCAGGAAACACGACCCCCTGACCGAGTTCTTCAATCACTAGTGAGTGCCTTCATTATACGCTACACGCAAGTCCTCTGGGTTCGAGTGACCCATCTGTGTGTGTGTAATTTATTGTTTTGCTTTTCATTAAGTATACGGAGGTTCGAGGAGAACGGCGTTATGTCGAAGCTCGTCAGTCACTACGAGGAGAAGTTCACGAGGCCGAAAGCGCCGTTCGACGCCTTCAACGTGCGGGACGTGATGCCGCTCTTTGCCATATGGATTTGCGGGTTGATCGCTAGTGCTGTTGGGGTGCTGCTCGAGTGTTTGTACCATAAATTGGGCCGGGATGAATCGAGGATTATACAGACGGAGAGGTACTTGCTTGCCCCGTACAGGGAATACGGAAAATTTCATTCCGAAGAATCGAAGAGAGTTCGACGTCATGCGAAAAAGTGTTTTTGGTGCAAACAAGCTGGATGATGGTTCGATCATGGACACTTTTTTGGGTGAAAATAAAACAATGACAAATAGGCGAATTTCGTACAAATAAATTTTTATTTCGTTATTATTTTATGAAAATGCAAATTGTATGAATCTTAAAAAAGTACAATAGCCCGATACACATATATAAAATATTACTCTTTACACAAACATCACTGTTTACTGCTGCTGCACCTTTTTGAAATGTATTGATCAATGTATCGCGTACTGTCTTGGGTTATATCGATACAAGTGTGTACAAAAAGCGGCTAATACCATGAAAAATTACATTATTTGTATCTTTCGACGTTAATATCAGCATGTTGCTTATTATCCTCATCCAGAGAACAAAGGTTTAATTGCGGTATGAAAAAAGTACGGAGACGCAAACATTGCTTATTCGTTATTTTCTGTTGTTCTTTTTTTCTCTTTTACGAGAATAAAAAAAATATCTATGTATATGGACGTGTGTAAATTAGTGACAAGTAAATATATATGTATATGCATACGAAATATAATTCGAAACGCCTTTGGAACAGCCTTTTAGAGACACGAATCAAGTGGCGTGTTTGTTTTTTCACCTTAGGACAGTCGAAGAAAGTATCGACATTGTTATTAAGTTTCAATTTTTGTTTTTTTTTCTTTCTACAATTTAAATAATTGTTTTTTTTGTTTTTTTTTTTTGTTTTTTTTTTCAGAAACAAAGAATGCCATAAGTGAGCGAGTACACGTAAATCAGTCAGGTTACACTGATACAATTTTTTCTCTCATCGACATCATCGGTCTTCATAAGATATCAGTAATTGTAAAATATTAATATATATAAATATAGAAATATGAAAAAATTCGCAAATCACTGCACCACGACTCTTTTTTTTGTTTTCATCTCGATTTTCCGATGGCTCCTTATGCGGCTGTTTTTTCTGCATCGATTGCTAAAAAATGTAAGGAAAAAGGAAAAAAAAAATTATATTCTTTCAATAGTTGACATGTTTTTCAACCTCAGGTGGGAGACATTGGTAGACTGGTTACCTTCTTTGGTGGGCAAGAGATTCTTCTCGAGCGTGTCCGCGTGCTTCAGCTTGTCCTTTTGGAAGTTTTCAATTCCAGAGATCAGCTGCTGCTTTCCCTTCTCCTGTTGGATAGCTAAAACGAAAGCACACGAATGAGATTAAGAAGATGATGATGACAGACGGATGGATTTTCTCAACTCACCATCTTTATCTGGAAGAGGGTTCTTTTCCTGCGTTTCTGTGTGCTTGAGTTTCGACGGGTCGAATTTCTCGATGTTGGCTATCAACGTTTGCTGATTTTTTTCCGCGGCAACGTCTGCGAGAGAAAAAACACCAAAGCCAATAAGCTGCTAAATCAATCAAGCGTGCATGGTATACACGATGGGGTGAAATCATATATACCTTCAGCCGAAGGCAGGACGTTCTTCTCCGCGGTCTCGGCCTTCGCCAAGCAACTGGAGTTGAAGCCGTGGAGCTGGCTCTTGAGGTTGATGGGGACCTTGGGAAGTTCTTTCAGAGACACGCTGGATGGGTCCGACATGGTGAACGATGTGTATATATTGTTTCCTCCTTTGGATCTGCAAAACAGCGGGAAAAAAAGCAAGCAGAGATTAAAACACACATAGTCAAAACGACGCTGTCAAGTATGATGATTTTGGTTTTTCGTACACGCCACGATTGAAAAACAAAAGCCCGAAAAATTTGTTTCCCTCGATAAACATAGACACTGAAAAAAAAAAAAAACAACCACAGACGAGCAGTATAAAGTTTCCCTCGCGATTCCCGATATAAGATACCGGCGCTCTTGTTTTTCTCCGGATACCTCCATTGTAATCGTACCGTGTACATGTGTTGATTTTTTTTTTTTTTTGTTTTCCTCTACGGCAGCTCTCTTTGTTTCAATCGTTGAAAACAAACGATCTGGAAATAGCCTCCGTGATACAGATCCATTGTCGCCGCAGGAGAGAGAGACAGTTCAATAACAGCGCGAATCCTATTGTTGAAGGTGAACGTACCTACCGAGTCTTGGAAACGTTGGGAAACGGAGAGGAAAAAGATGATAAAAGAAAAAAAAAAGGTTTCCTCGACTCGTTTAAGTATTCAAGAGCTCTTTTTCACGTCCCTCTCGTATCAGGAGAGCTGTATGCAGTGTGCGGGGCTGCACGGGGGTTAAATATACCCTTTAGCTGTGCGGAGACAAAACGTTATCAGTGTACATAGGACGCTAAAGGGAGTCAGGGTGTCGATTGGGTGGGCCATCCGAGTATGGGTTTATACTTGAAAAACCAACTTTTACCCCCCCCCCCACTTGCTTTGACGCCCGGATATCAAGGATGAGTCATGAAGCCCGTGCGGAAGGAATAAAAGGAGAGAGGGAGGGTGGTGATTAATCAACAGTATTTTGAAGATACGGAGCCGCACGAGCTTTCAAGTGAACGCGCGATTCGGTAGACAGAGAGAGAGAGAGAGAGAGAGCATATAGCGTAAGAGACAAATAATATGTATAATTGTATATCTGGTTTTGCGTGGGAGTGAAGAATTTGCCCGGCAACAATAACGTTACATGCATACATTGGTTGTTTACTTAAAGCGAGGAATTATTATATCTGGTTATAAACCTATACGATTGCTTGATTCTCGGTTCAAATGAAATGTCGAGCGTTACAGAGAGACCATACAAGTGTATATATTATTATAATTATCAGTGTAGAAATAAATGGTGTCAGTATTTTGATATCACGTGATGTTTATACGATTTAAAAAAGATGTTGACTGATCGATCGTGTAGTCGATCCCCTGCATGATGACCGATCCCCACGCGTACAGTGTTTACGCTTACAAGTAGATGATTTACCGGATTTTTTTTTTTTTTTTTTTTCATCACTTGTTATTGACGAATGTACACCAATGCGAATGTAACGATCACATTGTGTGTTGTGTGGATGATTCAAATTGATTGAATTCATCGTCTTGCAAACGCTTTTGAAGCCACAAGTATTACAAATATACTTTTTGTTTTTTAACCAATGATTACAACAATTGAAAGAAAACGTCAATATGATTCAATGACGCGTTTATGCGATAGCAACATTTTTTTTAAATCGTCGCCATCCTATTTGAAGGTCCCTGTATAATTCAGGAATGGCTTGTATTAATAACGAGAGGCGCGGATAATTGAAAGGCAGCAACAGTGTGTATGTAGCAGCAGATGCCGGCATGCATTCCGTAGGAGTGAGGTCAGGCCCCTCGAAAAAGACCGAGAATCAGAAAGGGGGAAGCGATTTCTTTGTTCCTTCCTTCCGAAGGGTGGAGAGACAGTGCCGGCTTTTTTTTCGAAGGATACGAGCTTGTGGTTTTTTTTACAACTTGTTTCAATGGATTTTATTTGTAAACTCGCGTTTCTGGTTTTCAAAGGAAATCGTTACGGTGCTTGCCCGATACAATGTATATAAGATCACTCATAAACTTATTGGCACGTACCATTTTAAAAAATGGCTTACACTGTAAGTATCCATCTGTACACTGTAAAGATGGAGTGTGCCCGGTTGTTTTTTTAAGTTCCAGCTGGAACTGGTCCGAGAAAACTGATAGTTTTCGTCACTGTAAATTGGATTTCACGCTCTTCTGTGCGCCGATAAAAGTAATGGTTAAAAAAATGACTCGACCGATTTCGCTTCAAAAGAGGCAGGTTGTCGCAGTACTTTGTCAGACGAGCCAAACTTCGCTCAGAATTTTTCTTGTTTTTTTTTTCCCTAGTGAAAACCCAAGACTCTCTAAGTAAATAAACGATTGTGCCTAAAAACGAAAAAAAAAAAAAAAAAAAAAAAAAAAAAGAAGAAAAAAGCAATAATCGTTTACACGACGAGAGTTGTCCTTGGGGGGCGCATTGCGCTCGATTTACTCCAAAAGAGGTGTAATAAAAAAAAAGAAGGACGTGCCCGATCATTGGTAAATGTGCGCGTCCTTTTAATTTGATTTCCGATCGAATTAATGATTATCGGGCCTCTTTGCGCGTGACTCAGATACAACATATATGTGTATACCGGATACATCAAGAGCAGCTTTTTGTAATTTTAAACGACCGGGTGCATGTGTATGTATACGTACAACTATGTATATAGGTGAGTAACGCTCGAGGGTATACTTAGTCGCCCGATTGTCGTTATCACTTTTTTGTTTCTCGCGAGGTTGAATTCACGCGTCGAAATAACATTATTTTAATCGTGTTTGATTACAGCGCTCTTTCAAGTATACTCATTATTTGTAAAATTTTTTCACGCAAATCGGCAAGTAAAACGTTAGAGCGAAAACTCTTGGCGCTTTGTATATTCGATAAAAGCTTCAAGTATATTGTACGTACAGCAAAAAAAAAAAAAAAAAAAATAAGTACTCGTAAATTACTATGAAGTAGGATATAATTAATAAAAATCCAAGAGTTTTCATCAGCACATGTGAATCCATGAAACCTACACGTGACACCAGAGCTCGGTACTTACAATTGGGTAACAAAAGAAAAAGGAAAGTAAGCAAGCTGGGTGACAATAATAAGAGAAAGGAAAAGAGAGGGCCCCACCTTTTCTCGGCAAGAGTCATCAAGTCCGTCAATGTACACACACTTATTCGTTGCGCAACATCCGCCATGACGAGCCTCATCTGTTCCCCCTCTATATGGGTTTATACCTACGTACAAGTGGACACCGTCGGCCACATTGATAGTGCCCGCATTAACATAACACCCAAGATACAGATCGCTGCTCCCTCGTCGTCCCGTCAACGACTCTGTTGCATTTTATTCTTAGTAACATTACATCCATCACGTGCACTTTTTTTCCCATAATTAACTGTTAAGTATACTCGAAGGAAAGAAAAAAAAGAGAGAAAAAAAAAAAAAGTTGCACCTCGACCACAATGACAACGTGGGCGTGAAGAATAAGTATACCGTTTTTCCGACACAATCGGAGCGCGCCCCGATGGTGTAATATATGTATAGGTATAAAAAAAAAACATATCTTTTTTGTACACGCACACGAGGCCCAATTAATGCTCCTTCGAAGCAACAGTATAAGTACACGTTATATACGTATAACCAAATAATATACCGTCTGATAAGGAGAAAAGCTGTATAGTGTACAACGGGCGATGATTTTTTCGTCCACAATGTTCACGCTCCGCGGAATTTCGCGGTTTCAATGCTAAAAAGGTGGTGGCGTATTGTACCGTTGCTGACGTTGATTCTGGGAGTTTTTTTTTTTTTTTTTTTTTTTTCTTTTTGCTGCGGCGTCCCGTGCAACCGGGCGTGTAGTGTACAGCCTTTCAAGAAAGAGGTATATCGCGTTGCACCGGAAGATGTTTTTAATTCGCGATGCACCGCTGGGTTTGTATCACGTGGGGGGTGCGGGACAGAAAAAAAAGAAAAAAAAAAAAAAAAGAATCTCGAGATTTTACGCAGACGCGGGCAACAAATAATTTCGATCGGCAAACATAGTTTCAAGCGACCCACAAACGAGCGATATATCCGCCATTAATTATACGAGCCTATACATTTGAAAATCGGAGTATAGGAAGAAAAAAGAAAATGTTATCTCAAAGCTCGGTGAAACAAATCGTGAAATACCACCGAAAAAAGAAGATGAGAAGGTAAGCCGGTACATAAACGTGCATATTATATGCTCAGAGGAAGGAAGGAAGAAGAGGCGAGCGCATGCACTCGTTGCATGGCACGGAAAGAAGGAGGAGGCGAAGGGACTTTATACCGTTACACCGTACCCTTTTTTTTTTTTTTTTTCACTCGTCCCCCAAGATACAAGAAAGGGTATTTAATGTACGTTTGATGTAATAAAAAGAAAAAAAAAAAAAAATCAAGCCCAACCTCGTTTATTTGCTCAACGCAGCGACAATAATATAATTTACAGCAACACGTGCGCGCTCTCCTGTGTTATTATTGCACGTAATATGCAGGTATAGGTGTACACCATGGGTATAATAAGCTGCAACTGCGGTTAAAAATCCTTAATTGAATGCATTTTAATTGTTGTTATTGCAGGTACACACGCGAATCACACGGAGCGTGACAATGCGGTGCGAGTGAAATGCACAATAACGATCGCACTGGAGGGAAGAGATGAGGAGAGAAAAAAAAGAAAAACTTTACTTTTTTTCGTTAACAAACTGCACGAGGGCAGCATCATCTCTGCATGATCTCGTTAACAGATTGGCAAGCCGATTTCGGTGTAGTTGTAGGATGTACGTACATTTGCGTACATTTACGTGCATGAATCCTCCTCCTTTTAGCCAATTCAAAACAAACCACCGTACAGTGAGCTGACCGCGCCGCACTTACCACACATCTCCCCGCGATCTTTTTTTCTCTGTTTCGCAGCGGCAAAGCGTGTATATATATATATAAGTGTATTATATACCGCCGGTACGGACAACACAAGTAGCCGACTCTGCTCCTGTATACCTACCGACCACCACCGCCAATCAGGAGAGAAACTCTTTTGCAAGCCGGTTCCGCGCCTTATATGGTTCCCAGAACTACATATACATGTAAGTGTAATATATTATATGGTGCATT